GGTTAAGAGCCAAGAAACGAAAAGCAGCCATCCTAGGCCAATCCTTCACTTCTCCACTGAGGATCTACACACATATCTTAGCATGTATCAGCTTTCTGACAATCTACATATTTCCCCCTAATTACACTACATAAAACCTATCCAATTCCTTGATTTATAGTTAGGAACTGGGCACAGCACATTATAGAAGGTGTGTCAGCAGAATGCCGAGGTGGTCCCTATTAATCTACTTGCAAGTGCTTGCTTTCAAAACGTTAGGTTGGCGGGAGCTGGGACAAGCGACGGGCGCTCACTCTGTCACGTGAATTCGATCTTACGACTGCTGGTCTTCTGACCCTGCAGCACAGGCTTCTGCGGTTTAGCCCGCAGCGCCACCACGTCAGCAGAATACTGGCCAATAAATGAAATGAAAACCAAGTTTATAAAGTGCTTTGTACATCCATTAATTTCTATACTGGAGGAACGTAAGTTTCCTTTTCTAGAAGGGTAGGAAAGCTCAGAAACTGAAGCTGAATCCAGATCTGCCCCGTCTAGTTCATCTAAACCTAGCATTAAGGCTGAAAGAGATTCTTTAGCCCTGATGTACAGGAACGAAGAACCTGTAGACAAAATTGTGGAACATATTTTGGAAAGAATGTATGGCCCACCTCCCTCTCCCCCCAGTAAAGCATGCTTATAGGATTATTATATTTACCTAACTAATTTCTCTTTATAAGTAACATTTATTTGTGATGGGCTCAGTGTGACATTGCCATCTTCATCGAAGAGGAAACTATCCTCACTGAGTATGTAATAGCCATTTGTAAGAAGCCGAGGGCTCCGACGGCATGCCAACACGCATTCCATGCAGGGATTCAAAGAACATTCGTAGGAGGCCTCGTGATCCAGAAGCTGGTTGGTACAACTGAAATGATTTTTTAAAAAAAACACAAAACGTTATTAGTCACATATGCATAAAACTGGCAGAGGGTCTTAAATGACAACATGAGAAAAGGTATGTCCATTAATTAAACTTTTCCAGCCTAAACAGGAAGCAGCTTCATGATGGATAAATCAGCATTACGGCATGCAATAGGGCCAATGAAGTGCACTCCGATCCATGAAAGCTTATGCCATTTTTAAAAATGCTCCTTTCTATGGCGCCACAAGACCCTAAATATCAGCATTACGGCATGCAATAGGGCCAATGCATTCCGATCCATGAAAGCTTATGCCATTTTAAAAAATGCCCCTCTCTATGGCCCCACAAGACCCTAAATGGGATAATTGTCATTTTGGTTAAGTCTGAGCTACAGTTTCGTAGGGATATGAGAGAGGCTCTGCCTGGTGGCGGTTCTCAACAAGCTCTGTTCCACAGAAGGCATATATGTTATGTCTGTGTATTAGTCATAAAATACACAAACACACACAAGTTTGACATGAAACCATGGAACCATCTTTATTTTTTTTTAAGGGGAGGGGGTCCATTCTGCCAAGTCTCTTTCTCACACATAAACATGCCTGTGCACACAAAACATTCTGAAGTGGTACAAACCAGGCATAGGTTTACTACTTCAAGATGGTGGTGCATTGGCTTAGGCGTGAGACACCTTTATTCAACAGAGGAGATACCTTCCAGATCTTATGACTGTTCAGGACATACTCCACTATCAGGTCTATTAATACTGAGTAGCGGTGGTGAAGAAGGGCGACAACTTTCATCTTACCCACATCGTTTGCTCCTCACTTTCCACTCCCTTCACCATGACCTCTGAAGCCTTAGCTTCCTCACACAACCAGGTGGTTCTAACCAGCCTCCAAATATCCAACCCACAAGGTCACAGGAAAAACACAATGTTGGCCATGCACGAGGGAAAGCCTGTAGTTCTTGCATTATTTCATTATATAATCAATCACAAACACAAACACTGCATTCTCAATGACAGTTGTGGGTTGGTACAAATACTTCATTTGGCCTTTGGAAAAATGAATGAAACAGGGGACCAACACATGAGTTTTGGAAGTGTTTTCTCAAGTACTGTAGAATTGTAGAAGATGGGAACAAAAAGAGTATATCAGTAACCTGGGTATGATGATTTCTGATACCATATTCTTTGTAACATCCTTTTCAAACAGCAAGGAACCTGCAAAAGTAAATATCAGAGAGAAATGTCAACACTGGTACATTTCTTAGAGAAAGGGTAAAGATTTGAAGTGTCACACTGTTAGGGATTGACAGTTAGTTATTGAGCTGCTTAGAATTCTCTGCCGCAAGTTCAAGGGCTCTCTGGCATAGGACAAGAACTCTCCAGCAGAAAATTCTAAGTAGGCACCAGATTACAAATGGCTGGATTCCATAGGAAGGAAACACAACCGTCATAAGCGGCATCAAACTGCTATAACTCTGTTGTGTAGATGCACTCCTGGTTTCGAGTGGTTTCCGGTGGTGTGGCAGGTTGTGCAACTAGTTGCGTAATCCTGTGCACAATCAACTGCACAAGTAGTTGCATGGACAGTTTCATAAACACAAATGTTGCAAAAGCAATAGGTTCTACTGCAAAGGCTTCCTGCAAAAGCAGTAGGATCATGAAAACAGCACTACCATTTAGATGGAAAACTTGCAAAAGCACGTTGCTAACACATAGCATTCCTCCACTAGCAGTATATTAGATTTAGGCTCTAATTCCCTAAATTAGCTTTCTAGGTAAAGTTAAACCACACAATTATTTGCTGATTAACGTGCATAATTTTCTCCTCTGAAATGCTCCACAAACAACACATCATCATATTCAATAGATCTCCAGTTTTCCTTGTGTGTGTTTTTTTCCCTACCCAACCTATGTTTTTCTGCGCTGGAGTTTGTAATAGGCCTTGCTTTGTGTAAAAGCCAGTTTAATTAGCGTCATGAGATTTAAATGAACAGGCACATTATGGACAAATCTTTCAATAGGTTACTTTGTTGATCTTCCCTATGGGACTAAATGATTGCTTTGCAAATGTTTACACCATGTTTACTGATTAAATGCTATATCCATCCAAGCCAGAGGGAAATAAATATTATTCATGGCAAGGCCAACAGAAATCAGGCACCCTTAATTTGGCAGGTAGTGTTTCATTCAAACTCTGAGTTTGTTTCCTATCCAGCACTCATAATAGATATAAAACCTTAGCTGTGCAGAGATCTCAGGGAAAAAACACAAATATAAAATAGGCTTCAAGAAGCCAGGCAAGGAGAGAACCATCTTGAAACCTTGGAGATTTCCTGCTAGTGAGAATTACCAGCATTGAGCTGTTTGATAGATGAATGGTCTGATTTATAACACACTCCCTATCTTCTGTGGGAAATATATCTGTGCTGATTCGACAGGCAGTTCTAGAGGCTGTTCCCCCCACAAGCAAAGGGAAAAGATTTGAGAAATCTCAACCTGAAATGATGTTCCTCCAGCAAAATTAGCATCAATAGCATTTTCTACAGAACGTCCTGATGGGTCCATAATACTAATCTGTATCTATTAGGGCATTTAAAAAACCCTGCGGGATAGCTCAGTGGTTTAGATATCTGGCTGCAGAGCAAAAAGTTGGGAGTTCAGTTCCCCACTGTGCCTCCTTGTCAGCAGCTCGACTTGGTGATCCAGTGGGTCCCTTTGAGCTCTGCAGTTCTAAGACAACATGGAGCAAGGTTTACAGTCCTACTTGAAATGCAGCCCTGGGGTTAAGTACATGCTTTGTAATGCGAAAACCTTCAACCACGTCAAGCTATGTAAAAGTGTGCAGCTCTTAATGAGTTGAGCTGGGGGGTTACAAGCAAAATTTGAACCTGAGAAGCCGTTGCTTTATTTATTTCCTACAATCATACCTTTCCATTCCTCCAATGAGCTCAGGAGGGCACACATAGTTTTCCTTCATCTCATTTTATCCTCACCACAGCCCTGTGAAGTCTAAAAGCAGAGTTAGAGGCTCAAGAGCAGATCTCCACAGTGAGCGGCACTTGACGAGTGATAGCTCTTCTTTCGTTAAAAGAGTGACAGTCACAGAATGACGGCAGAGGTCTTTGTGGCATCCTGGGAGTTAGCTTAGAGTTCCAATGTTCTAAGTAAGAGGAGTCAAAGAAAGGTGAAGTTTCTCATGGGAATAAATGGAGAAACAATAAAAACAACCTTAGAGCTGCAGAGCTAGAAGGGATCCTATAGATCATCAAGTCCAGCCCTGGTCAAGGAGGCCCTGTGGGGGAATCAAACTCCCAACCTTTGGCTCCTCAACCAGAGACCGAAACCACTGAGCTATTCAGAATAGAAACCAGTTCTGTTCTGACAGCTGGAACAGGACAAATACATTTGTTCTTTCCAACCGTGCTAACCTTAACTCTTTATACACAGAGCTTCCCTGAAAAATGATACATGACAAATACAAACTCCCAAACTGCTATGATCTTGTAAAAATTTGGTGTATTATTGTTCCATCCTCTTCCTGTACTTAAATACACTCTTGCTGCAGCAATGTCATATTTCAACGTTACTTCTTATACTGTATTTTGTATTGGATGAAGGAAAAAACTATTTAAGAAAACAAAGGGAGGATAGGGTACAAATCTAAAGGGTTTTTTTCCCCCTAAGCCTATCCACTCAATATGAGGAAGACCAATGTTTGCTCTGTCTCATATAGAAGACAATGTATAAGGGTAGAAACAGAGAACTTGGGCTCATGAAATGCAGTTTTGATAGCTGCTTGGAGTTCTGCATCTTGACATGCATTCTATTTTCAAACGTGTATCAGAAGATGCAAAAGCAGTTTCTGGTCACTTCCTATTTCATCTAGAGGGGCCAGTGCAGATCCCAGAGCACAGGTGGGCAAAACAAAGTTCCTAAGACTGCTCTGTGGCCCTCCATATCTCCATCTACTACATACATTGTTCTGGGTTATATCAGGTAAGGCATTGTTTCATGCAATAAGATGGAATGAAAGCACGACAGATGAAGCAAGTGTTGTCAGGACCTTGGACAGCAACCACATTTGAGGTGCTGGCAGCTTGATAAGAACACACCAAAGGCCAACTAAGGCCTTGAAAAGGATAGCAGAACCTGTTCTTCCAGGGGATGTACTCCTGCTGGATGGTGGACCTTTCTGAAAAATCCGCATCCTGTCTCCACAGTCTTGTGCGAAGTATAGGAGTAGGTGCACATCCCAGAATCAGATCTTCCTGGCAGAGCTAAATCTTCAGGCTGGGAAGATGTGGTCCCAGGAGACTTCTCCTGTCTAAATCAAAGTCCTCCTTAGGGTGATGCTGGCCTCAGAACCATGATATATAGCTTGGAGGCTGCTGTAGCTTTAAGGTCCTTCTCAAATTGGATTTAAAAGTAACACTCATGGACATTGTGCAGTGTCTCCATAACATGATAGGAAACACCACGTGATTCCAGTTAATATTTTCTTCTTTTAGCACAGCAACCAGGGCAATCATCATGAGCTATCAAAAGCCCCATTGGTAAACAGATCTCTGTTCAATCCCATATGAAGCAGTCAAATCATGTTTCAAGGTAGCTTTGGAATCCATCAGTGTTCCTCAGCTTCTTCAAGGGTCTTCCTGATTTCTAGCCTTCTGTGTACCTCGAACATGAAATCTTCTATTTGCAGCCCATCACATCTCTTACACTTACCTATGAAGATCCATATCTAATTTTAAGTCTTTCCTTTCCTTGCTGTTCAGCTGATGTAGAGGCAACAATAGCAATGGCCATGGCGACCGTTGTGACTCAACAATGAGGCCCATTGATAGATTGCACTCAATTCCACCACTGTATGGGCAGTTCTATTGGAGTACCATTGGAGACTGCAGACTTAGTGAATTGAATGGTCTTGAATACAAGAACATGTCTTCAATGGGCATCTGTCTGAGCTGGTGAATTAGAAACTAGCATGTTGAGAATAGGGTGTAGCTTCTGATGAAACAACTGCCCACAGATCCATGAAAATGCAGTCAAAGGCATCTACACCTGTACGATCAAGTCCTACAGCGTCCAGACCACAGACACCATACGGACCTCCTCAACATGTCTACGGACCAAGTTATGCAACCCCACCAGCTCAACCCTTCGCTCCTCATGGTATAATCTGGATGCCAGCACCCCTTCCCCTTCCCCACTGTCCACCTGGACTGGAATATTTAAGTCAGATTGACAGGTTATTAATTCACCAAGAACTGGAATATCTGGAAATACTCACTACCTTTGAAACCTGCAACCGATATGAAATAAAAAACGCGTTTGGGCAACGGGTATACTATGCAATCGAGGAAAACAACTGCTGCACGCTCTTATGCTGTGGAGCAGATAGGCCGTTTACGTTAAAAATCTTTGACAACATCGGCCAGGTGGTCATAGAGCTCACACGGCCGCTCCGATGCTCCAGTTGCTGGTATCCATGCTGCTTGCAAGAACTTGAGGTCCAGGCTCCTCCAGGCATCCCAGTGGGATATATTAAACAGACATGGCATCCCCTGTTGCCGAAATTCACCATCCAAAACCAAGCCCAGAACGACGTGCTGAAAATCACTGGGCCCTGTGTCCTCTGCAGCTGCGGGGAAGACATTCATTTCGAGGTGAAGTCAGTGGATGAGGCAACCGCAGTTGGGCGCATTTCTAAGTTGTGGACTGGCTTTGTGAAGGAAGTCTTCACAGACGCCGATGACCTTGGCATCCAGTTTCCCTTGGACCTTGATGTCAGGATGAAGGCTGTCATGCTTGGCGCTGCCTTCCTCATAGACTACGTGTTTTTTGAACATGGCCATTATACCAATCAGCGGATTGGGATCTGGTAGCCGACGTCGGCACTATTAAAATGTCAGAGAAAACCCTTCAATACTTCTCTTCTCACTTGGACAAAACTGATTGCCAAAGCCGTATAAGATATTTCCATAAACCTACTTATTTTTGTTTTCTAGTTGCACTGTAGCTCATATATCTATGGAACATTCCAATTTAACAAGGGGGCTGCTCAGTATATTGAAATATAGACAGACTGTATTTGATATTATCTTTAATGTAGCATGCGTACACATATAGGCCAGGATCAAGTGAGGTTGTTCTTCTGACAGAATTAGAGATAGAAATCATGACTTTGCTCATTCTCACATGGCAAATGAGACAGGCCACCATGGATAATTCAAAAAGCTCCCCCACCCCTAAAGTGTGATGGTAGGATGTTGTTGTTGCTGGTAGTCTTAGACAGCACATTGTATTTTGACTTTCTGCCATATTTCTGTAAAGTTTGCAATGTTGTAAAATACAGTAACTGTTGCCTTGTTGCATGAACTAGTAAAAGTAATAGCACTTGGATGGGTTGTTTGTATCTTAGTCATCACTCAGATTTTCCTGTTGAGCGTTTTGCATGCTTATGGATAGACATTGGTTCAGAAAAGGAAGAAGATAGTGTAGATGAACTCTCCCAAGGAAGCTGAAGAGTTATTCACGAAAATTGAGCAAAAACGTTCTGTTTTTTACAAAAACTCAGCAATGGTGAGATTCTGCCACATCACAAATTAGAATTGCTTTTGTCAGGAAAGCTGGGGAAAGGACTATTCTCCCCTGCAGTCCCCCATGCACCCTCAAGCCTTGCTTTGGACAATGTTCCAAGGTAAGGAGGATAGGCTGTAAAGACCTTACATAAGTCAGACGGCAAATCCTCTGATAGGGGTGCACCAGCCATGCAGCACTAGCTTCATGAACCATGCCTTGCTGGACTTGGTGACTCACTAGCATTGTGAGGGCATCTGTGTGCATCTTATTGTTATTCTGTATCATCCTACATCCTTGTAAACCTTCAATATAATAAACCATTTAAAGTACCAGTGATCACCTGCCTTCATCACGGCTGAAACAAATTAGGCTCATAAGTCTGTGGCTGGACCAAAACCTCCCTTTAACACAGCGTCCTTGTTGAAAACATCTGGAAAGCCAACGTTTCCCCATTCCTGGCTTCAAAAATCCTTGGGCAGGTTAGGTTCTGCCTTGGTTGTATATACAGACACATTATCTTGAGTGTCTTATGACATGACTGAAGAAAATGTCACAGGACTGGTTGTCCTCTCAAACCCAATGTATCTGAAGAATTTCAGTTCACACATTTACTGTGTGTCGACAAGTGCCGACGAGACCACATCTTTGTCAACCAGCTCCAAAAGCCTTTTCATACAAAGTGGTAGGCAAAGTCGGCAATCGGAAGTCCAGTCTTACATCAAACATAGCTCCATTTGCGGCTATTCCATTGGTAAATAGATACAACCAGTTTGTTGCATCATTAATGTAAAGAGCTTTGCCCATTACTGTAATGAAATATCTGCTAAAATACAACTGTGCATTTGATTCTGACTGGTTGTAAGCTACTCCCTGCTGTTGTTTGCGCCACCCAAGCCAAGCCAGGGGTGCTGCTTTATATACCACCCCAGAGTGTTTAAAGTAGTCTCTGGGCAGTTTACAATTTAATTATGAAGGCTACGCAATGCCCTCCCAGTGAGCCGGGTACTCAGTTTACCGACCCCGGAAGGATGGGTCAACTTTGAGTTGGCTACCTGAGCTCGTCAAAATTAAACTCAGTTTGTGAGCAGAGTCTTGACTGCAGTACTGTGGTTTAACCAGGGCACCATAAGGCTACTTAGTTAATGACTAGCTAGTGCAGTGACTGATTCTCAAAAACGGGCCCCAGATACATATATAAAATATGTATGCCATTCTCTTAGTGAAAATGTACTACTCTGGATGGTTTACAATCAGTTAAAACAGTAATATAAAAACCAAACACAGCATAAGATATTCTTGAATTACATCTCCCAGAAGCCCTGACCATTGACTCTGTGGGCTACGGCTTCTGGTCATTGTAGTCCTTTGAACATCTGTGGTCCCAAATTTTGGAACCATTGAACTAACTGTTAAGGACTATATATGGTACTACCGTATTTTTCCATATATAAGACGCCCACACTTTTCTAACCCAAAATTAAGAAATCTAAGTGGGGCTCAGCAAGTGGAGGGGAAAGCAGGGATCAAATCCCTGCAGGATCACTTTGCTCCCTGCTTTCCCCTCCACTTGTTTTTGTTCTTTCCTCAGCTTACTTCCGTGTATAAGATGACCCTCAATTTTTAGTCTAAAGATTTTAGACAAAAGTATAGTCTTATACACAGAAAAATACGGTAGTTCTAGATACACCAATCTAGAGCTCCAGTGTTCTGCACTACTTCCTATTTTGTTTTAAAGAGTACATGACTTATTCTGTTCTTGCTGCCTTAGGAGCTTTCTCATAGTGAAAACAGTTTTGGTTTCCAGATATCAAACAGGACAGGGAGCGTCCAGATTTAGGTTCCATCTTCTGGATAGAGCGAAAACGAATCCCTTTCCTTTCCCATGACAGACCGCCCTCCCCATCTTCTTGCCATGGTTCTCAGAGGGTTAGTGAAACCTCTTGAATGAGGTGAAGTGTGGTATGGGAGAGAAACAAACAGGGTAGAGGGGACTACCCTTTTCCTACCGCCTACTTGTTGAAATGCAACTTGAATTATTATTTCTCCATTTACTGTTTCATTTTCTAGCCCATCTACAGAACTACTGCTCTTGCAATAGAGAAATAGAACCTGGATAAATAGAACAAACAGGTCTTATTCTCCGTTGGCATTGATTTTGCTTCTCTAACCCCCCCCCACAACTCCATTATGTGCAGCTCACCAAACACTGATGCCTCTAACCAAACACTTTCCTCTATCTACACTGTACATTCTGTAGTAGGAACACTCTATGAACGGCAGAGGAGATATCAGCTAATCTTGGAAAGCTGATATATTAACAAACTACCACCGTGATCACCAACAACCACAAAAGACAGTGACAGTAATAACTGTCTGAAACTTCTTTAGGATAAATGTAATCTTTTGTGTATTTTCCTGGAGATAACCCTCACTGAATAAAGCAGGGCTTACTTCTAAGTTAAATATGCATGCATAGGACTGTTCAATCCAGCATATTAAAGATTGGTCAATCATGCTGTATTTTGATATCAATTTGCACCGAAAGGTCTAGATTGCAACAGCTAATGTTTGCACCTGCCTCCTAGATGAGTGGATTTCAGGTTTCCCCCTCCCTTTAGCAACACATCATATACATAGGAACTCCACTGTCAGAAGTCAATACAGCCATTCCTCTGATAATAACTCTAATAAGAAAACATTTTACAATATTAAATCTACCAGACCTGATAGAGCCATCTTGTCAGTTAGAAGCATACACCAGCAGTTTGTCCATCAGGCGAAAACATGACTGCAAATTGTAACTGTCCTGTGTCCGTTAGTATGGCTTCCTGCAGGCAAATAACAAAGTGTGTTTGTGTGTGTGTCTTTGGAAAGACAGAAGGAGCTCACTTGTTTCCTTTTGAAAACAAACTGTGCAATAGGAAATGCAGAAGCAGAATGAGGTCATGTTTCCTGCTTCATCCGGGTCTAGCCTTGCATTGCAAGCATTCCTTTTGAAGAGTCTGTTGCCGATTAAAGCTTAGTCCAGTGAAGAGCATGGCTGTAATTGGTTAAGATACCACTAGCTATAAATAAAAGAGCCACTTTTATTTCATTGTTACTGACAAAGAAAGAACCCAGGCTACAGGCTAGCAGAGTTCCACCTAGAGTGGTCGTTCGACTAGATAGGCGGGGTATAAATACAATCAATCAATCAATCAATCACAGAAGTAGGAGAACGAGGGCCCCTGCAGGTCCATGAGACAGAGGTAGATGGCTAGTCACTGCCTAGTATGACCGCTGGAACCAAGTTTGGAAAAGTTACCATACTTTTGTGTAATGCACCTCCCAGCCAGTGCTGTGTGGAAATTTCAGATACAGCAGAAATGATCGGTTCACTGCAATGTCCACATTTACTGCGTGTGGGCATTTATATGCGAATGCTAGCAATCCAGACTTTGAGGATGTCCAGAGATTCAGATCCACTGGCTGAAATCCAGCAGTTAAGTCAAAACTAGAGCAGGCCCATTGAATCAGTGGAGATTTTGTGAGTCAACTCCAATGTATATCCTATCGATTCAAATAGACCAACTCTTGTAACCTACTGCTGGATTTCAGCCACGTTTTCTTCCAGAAAAAATCTAGAGCAGCACACCAATTATAGTATGTAGGATTGATTTGTCTTTAAGACATGGTCTTAAATAACGTCTCCCTCTGATTTTCCTAGAGATCCAAACAGAACTGGCATGGAGAAGATGGTTTGCATTCTGCAGTGAGACTTAGCTTTCATGTTGCTGTAGACTGCTTGTTTTCTTATTTATACAATGGCTTTTTAGAAATTTCCTCTTACCTTAAGTTGTTCAGTGAACAATGCTTCCCAGCATTGATGTCCATGCGTTTCTTTATTTCAAAAAGCTGGAAACTTCCCAAGATTTTTTACATTGGACTAAACCAGTAAATATTGGTATGCAAAGGGGATGACACCATCATCGGCAAATCACCAGTGATAAAAGGTTTATTTTGGAATGCACAGAGCTTCATCGCATTATGTACACATTGTGTGTGCCCTGAAATTGCTGCTGATGTCAACCTCTCTGCATACACAGAGCTGTGCAACAGGATTTCAGACAGTATGTAACTATATATGGGACCATGCTATAGATCTGTTTGTAGATGATGATACTGTTAAAGCTGTGATTCAATTTGGCTCTTCCAACACTTAGGGAACAGATACCTAGCAGAATTAGACTGTAGTGATTACTTAGTATGGAGATAAGATATTTTAAAAAGTGCATTGATGTACCATGGGTGGAGCTGATCTGTAATCTGAATGTCTTTGCTTCTGTAAATAAAGCTTCGACCCAAACTTTTTGCTTCAAATCTAATTTCTTTTCTCTCTGATAATGTACATCTGATTTCAGACACTTACCGAATCAAATACAAGTTGTCAAAATGTTTACCTGCAAACAGTATGCTAGCCAGCTAGACAAAAACTTTATTGCGTGATCTACAGATGATTGCGATATTAAAATAAGGTTCATACGCCAACTTACTAAGTCAATAATATCCTATGCCAAGTCTTGGATACTGTATTAGGTTTTCACTATGGTCTTTGTATTGTTTTGCTTAAACAATCCCAGTTTAGGCAAGTTTACATAGAAGTCTTACTATGGAGCTTATTTCAAAGGGACAGAGCAATTCTGTTAGCACACACAAGATGTTCTGCACCGATAAAGAGTGTGTTCCGGGGGAGGTCTAGCTTAGTACTGTACATAATATGCCTACAAAAGACATCAAGGGCATAAATCTGCCACTGGTGGAAGACAGTATTAGGCTGTGGACTCAAAAGTCTTGCTGTGCTTTTAATTATGAAAACCCTGAGTTGGCATATAGTCTCCATTCATTTCAAGAAAAGATCTGGCAACTTTCAGGAAGAAACCCAAGGCAATCTCCTCTCTTCCCACAATAAAGAGCATTTAAAAAAAAAAGGAGAGGAGTCTACTATAGTGGACCCTCGACTTACAGACGGCTCAACTTACAGACTTTTTGAGTTACAGACATCTCTGGCTGCAAAATTTAGGTTCGACTTGCAGCCGGGGAATCAACCTACACACCAGAAAAAACCCAAAATGGAACAAAAATGGAACAAAAATGGCCGGTTATGGATTAATCGGTTTTCACTGTATTGTAGGTCAACGGAGCCTTGACCTACAGACTTTTTGACCTGCAGCCACCATTCCAATATGGATTAATTCGGTAAGTAGAAGGTTCACTGTATTCTGCTTCCCACTCCACAGGAATTGGCAAATCTACCAGGAAGGCAGTTTTTAATGAATATACAGAACCTCCTTTCTGAATTTCTATGTTTTAATTGATTTTATTAAGTCCAATAAGCTTCAATGGTTCTAAGTCAGGTTCCATATCTGTTTGTGCTTACATGGGAGCCAGTGGAACTTACTTCCACTGTAAGGCAGAAATAAAGCTAGGGACCTATGAAGTTGTCTTATGCCGAGTCAGACTTTTAGTCCATCAAGTCCACGATCATCAAATTTGACTGGCAGCAGCTGTCCAGTGCTTTTTTAAAATCCCTACCTGGCAATCCCCAGTATTCTTTGGTGGTTTCCCATCAAAACACTAGTTCGGCTTAGTTCCCAAAGTCTGACATGATCAGGTGTGTTCAGGATGGCATGGTGGCAAATATGAAGACACATGCTTTACAGCAGGTTTGTCCTCATAACTGCAGTGTCGAACATTTAAGACGTTTATGGCACAATGCTGTACAGATCTGCTCAGAGAAGTCTCACTGCGCTCAGTGGGACTTGATCTCTTAGGAAAGGATCACAGCCTTAGAGCTTTAACCTATCCTAAAAGAATGTATACCATTTGCAACAGAAGAAAAAGAAATCTTCCAAAATTCGGTGGTTCTTACCGCACAGGAGCAAAACTTTTACTCTGCACCATAAACCAATGCTGGAAAAATTGGTCATCAATTTTTTGTTAGACCTTTAGCTACTACCAAGCATGCCTATTGGTAAGGGGAGAATAGGAATGTTAATCCTAAAGCCTGCTGGACCAAAACCTTTTTAAAGCTGCTGTATTTTCAAAAGTCAATTAAAAACCTGGCTGTTTATGCAGGCCTTCCCTCCAGGCACTACTTGATTTATTTTTTCCCTCTTTCTTTTCCATCTTGAATGATTGTTTATTTTTGTTGTAAATCACTGTTACTTTTAAATTGTTTTATTTATTTGCTGTCAGCCGCCCAGAACAGTGTATGGCTAGATGGGCGGGGTAGAAGTATAATAAATAAATAAATGTAGGGATTACTCTAGGTTTTACACTTGTTGCTGTTAGGTGGCATCAATTTTCCCCATCGTACGACAATCCCATTCATTAGTGATGTTCAGATGGTTCTCTCACCAACAGGCCTGTTCACCTCTTGCAAACTGAAGGCTGTGGTTTCCTTTATTGAGTCCGTCCAGCTCGTATTCCATCATCTTCCTTTCTTGTTGCCTTCAATTTTTTTCCAACCTTCTTGTCTTTCCTAGGGATTCTTGTTCTTTGCAGTAGCTTCCTGTTAAGGTTCCTGATTAAATGCCATGCCATAGAACCGAGAATGCACAGCAGCATGCTTTTTTTTTCAATGACGGATGAGCGAATTGTCTCAAGAAGTGGACCGAATTTCACACTGAAATGCATCTGCTAGTCCTAAAGAATGCAGAAGCTTTTCAGTTTGCTTTACAAGACGGCTGTGTTCCATTAAAGCTTAAGCCGCAGCTTTGTTGGTCTTTCAAGACTTTTGTGTTATTTTTTTTCTCCTCAAACTCATCTCTGCGTAACAAAATGACCTTTTTTCTTTTGTGGCTTATCTTTCATTTTTCCTTCCCATCTTGAAGCATTGTATATTTAATGTAATGACACTCCTTTTTTAATTATTTTTGTCCTATTATGTGTCTGCAAGCCTCCTAGAGTGGTCGCAAGGACCAGATAGGCGGGATATAAACAAACAAACAAACAAACAAACAAACAAACAAACAAACAAACAAATAAATGGCATTTTTGAAACCATGAAAATACTGATTTTAACACCAGCCTTCTTGGATTACAGCCTTTCCCCTCAGACCCACGAAGTATAATATTCCTGATTCCCGGTTAAAAAAAAAAAAAAACACGAGACTCTTTCTGTCTCTCCTTTCCGTTGCGATGCAACACAACTCTCCGTAAGAAATGTCTTTGCTCGCACTGGCTTCATTTGGGAGCCGGAAGCGCTGATCCCAACTAGCGGCCAAGTTTCCCCCCCCCAACCCTCTCTTTAACTTCCCCGCCCAGCCCAATCCCGGCAGCCGCATCTCTGCGCAGGCGCCGACGAGCTGTCTCCCGATAGGCGTTCTTATTTGTTTTTTTTGAAGCAGGAGGGCGCGGGCTCCGCCTTCGTCACGTGACGGGGAAGCGCTCGCGAGGGCGGGGCCGGCCTGGGCCTCCCCGGCCGTCGCGGGAAGATGACGTCCGGCGTCGGCGCTGGGGGGCGAGAGGCGGGGCCGGCGATGGGTCTCGCTGAGGAGGAAGGAGGGGGGCGACGGCGGCGAAGGCTCTGAGGCGGCCGTTGACGGCGACCTTTTCCCGGTCGAGAGAGAGGGACCCCCCACCCTTCTCCATCCCCGCCCTGCCCGGACGAAGCTCCGGCAGGGCTGGTTAGCGGTGGCCGGTAAGGAAGGGCTGGAGCTGGGCCTCCCCGCAGGCGGAGAGGCCTCCCTCCCGGCTGGGTCTTCAGAACCGCTTTGGCCGGGCAGAAGAGAGAGAAAGAGAGCCTCTGGCCTTCTCCTGTCCCGGGCCTCCCCTTCTGCCTTCCCCCCCCCCTCGGTGGATTCGGCGGGCCTCCCCCGTCCAGCGAGGTGAGGCCGGGGAAGGGAAGGCCGGGGCCTCCCCTGATGATGGTCCCCCTTGGCCCTCCCCGGTGGGGGAGCCCGGAGGTCCCTGCCTGGGGGGGGTGGCTGTGGACTATATAAGGTGTGGACCCTATACAGAGCCTTCACCCTATATAAGACCGCATAGGATGTGTGGGGTGCGGAGGGGGGAAGAGCAGAGAGAAGCCCTCTTTGACGCTCCCTTCTTGCCTTTTCAAATCCCCTTCTGAAGAAGCCAATGAGTTCCTAAAATAAGAATAAGAACGGCAGCAAAGCCACAGAAGTAGATGGATGGGTTTTTTTGCTCCGTTAGTCCAGATGTGCTATTTGCATCATCCTTCTCTATGTTACTTTTCTTATAGTTTGGGGTTTTAAAACTGGGGTGCTGGAATTTTTTAAATAATAACGATAATGGTTTTTATAGAGTTTAGAAAAGTTCTATAAGAAAGTCGTTTTTTGCCCAAACCAAAGTCAGCTGTATTTCATAGGAGTATTTGCAAAGGGAAGATTATAGCTCAAAAGAGGGTACAGTATTATGTTGTGGATAATACAAGACTTGCAAAAAATTCTATCTGATGCCGGAAGAGTTGTGTTAGGTCATTGTAGTCAAATTTATAATCCCAGTCCAATATTCTTAAAGGCTGCACCCTAACTCACTCTCAAGATTTGAACCAAATTCAGAAGAGCATTTGTAAAAACATGATTTTATTACTTTATCCTCAGCAGAGTTTATGGATGAGGTCCTTATGTTAGAGATCTCCTGTAACTGTATTCATACCAAATCTTTTCTCTGGAAAGAGCTAGCTGATGGATTTCCTGGGTGTGAGCTGTTCAGTTCGTGCTTTCATATATCAATAGTTCACTGCTCAGAAATGTGCATTTCATATACAGTATTCCTTGGTCTGGTGAGATACATGTATTCTCTACATATATGGAGTATATGCAGAAAAAGCACAAGGGAGCCCTACCTAACCAATATCTTAGCACCCCGAAAGCAAGCAGTTTGTCCTTTGCATTCCACTTATTTATTTTGATTGCAACATTTGTTTAGTTTAGAATTGGTTAGGTTGATGCATTTTATATGGAGTCAAATATGCAGTGAATACTTGCTCTTTGAAATAAACATAGGTTAACTGAACATAGCACATTTATCCTGCTTATAATTATCAGCATTAAGGAACAAATCACTGACAGTTTTTAAATTAAAACTGCAATTCTCCATTGCAGCTTGATGTTTCTTTAATTGAAGGGAACTCTTACTGAATTCAGTAAGACATGCAAATAAATAAACATACATTGTAGTCTGCTCTTAATGTTTAATATTTGCTTCCTAAGCTATTAAAATAGCTATAGCTTGCTGTAACAGTTTTTTCACATTGTTGAAATATTTTGCCTGCATCAATAATACTCTTTTTTTTTCTTCCTTTCTTCAGCTAAGAAGAAAGACAGACAGAAGTTCTCAAGATGAGCAGAAAGCCTCCAAATCGTCCTGGTATTACTTTTGAAATTGGTGCTCGCTTGGAGGCACTGGACTACCTGCAGAAATGGTATGGAATCTGGTGTTTGTGTCTGGATTTACTCTTTCACATACAGCCTTAACTTACATTTATATTCACATTTACTTTCCCCATCTGTCCATAAAACAGCTTGAGACAAGGTGACCTCTTTTGGAAGTGATATCAAAGTAATAAAAAGTTTGGGTAAAATATTTTGTATGGAAAATCTCTTATAATGCCAGTAAATCAGAGGCTTATATGTCTGCTGATTGTGTTTTAAGTGCATTGATCGATTCTGGTGCCCTATGAATATGATTTATCTTCTGTGTGGGCACTCCATTAATAATACAACAGGGAGTAGCCTTTTAAAAAAAGTCAGGGCACTATAAAGAATGAGGACATTTGATAGGGTTATATCTGAAGTAATTGGACTGATAGACAATGGAATATTAAAGGGCATTAAAAGTCACAGGTTCTAAGTCATGAGGCTCCCTGTCAAGATGACCTGAAAGCTTCAATTAATGGACAGTGTTGTTGTTTGCCCTTGTACAGAGGTCATTCCTAGATTTTGGAATCTAGGAATCTGGTCTCACCTCCTCCGTTTACGAAGTGTTCCAAACCTTCTCTCTTGTTTTATTACCATTTGTATAACCAGTTACAGTGGTGCCTCGCTTGACGACGTTAATTTGTTCCAGCGAAATCGCTGTAGAGCGAAATAAAATTCCCCATTGAAACGCATTGAAAACTGTTCAGTGCATTCCAATGGGCTAAGTACGTGCTCGTCTAGCGAAGATCCTCCATAGGGCGGCCATTTTTTGGTGCCTGTCTAGCGAAAAACAGTCCTGAAAACAGCGGGGGCCATTTTCTACAGCCGGCGGCCATTTTGAAACCCGACGATCAGCTGTTTGCTGATTGTTGTAAAGTGAAAATCGGTTCCCGAAGCAAGGAATCGATCAACGTTAAGTGAAATTCCCTCATCTAAACATTGTTTTGCGATTGCAAAAGTGATCGCAAAAAATTCAGCGTTAAGCGAATTCGTTGTAGAGCAACTTCAACGTTAAGCGGATTCGTTGTAGAGTGGGTTAATTGTCTAGCGGGGCATGACTGTAATTGGTTTCCATAGCGATAATGATAAAAACTTTAGTAATCGTTGGTTTAGTTTCAACGAACTACTTTTTGTTACCCTGTTATAACGAAACATACTATATATTATTGAAAGAGTACATTTAATATGGTAGTTTATTTATTTATTTATTGCATTTATACCCCACCCATCTAGTCAACTGACTACTCTAGTTGTGTAAATTATCATAAACTGTTTGGAGTGGGTATAATGCCGAATAATTGCTTCTAGAATAAAAGTGGGGGGAAATTAACCTGTTTGGGTGGTGCTGCAACTTCCATCATTGTCATTTCCTTGACTGAGTTCACACAAGGGGCAAGGAGAAACTACTCGTTGCTATTTATGGAAGGGTACAATTTAAGAAATAAGTCATTAATAACATTTAAAAACCTCATTCATATAGTTTCTGTGTTTTATCTCAAATGAAAAAACAACTAGAATGTTACATATTCAAAATTCAGGTAAAATATCACTGTATTTCCTACTGGACACAGTGTACTCCAGATGTTTTTTAACTGTAAACACTATCAGTCCTAACTAGTGATGAGGAATGCTGGGAGATGCACCAGGACATCCTCTGGTATTTTCCATCCCCATAGGAGTTCAAGGAGGAATGAGTAATTCTCCACAATTGTTTTGAATGTCAGGTACAGTCTAGTCACATGTAATTTTGGCAAAATTGGGAGACAGATGCCAAACTTACTAGGATGTTTTTAAAAGCACATAACTCCTTGACTTTTCCTTGGATAAGAATGGTAATTTTCAGATAGTGCATATATACAATGAAATTGGTAGTTTCATCTGTGAGATTTTACTTTCTCATAAATTATAAGTGCTAGGAGGATTTCTATGACATTTCACACTTTCTCTGCAACCTGTACTTGAACCCACAAGCAAGTTTAAACCTGTTTATGAGTAATCTGGCCTTTCTCACAAGATTTCTCATAAACATGTCCAAACAAACTGATAAGTTCAAATACAGACTGCAGAAAAAGGATGATATATCATAGAAATCCTCCCCCTAATCAAGAAATATCCTTTAGTTATACAGTGCTGATGCAGAAATATCAAGGTCTGCCTGCTTTACGTATTTTTCCTGGTAAACATTAATTGCAGGAGGGGTGGATGCTTGGTAATGGTCATGTAAATTGCAAAGATTGAGAACATCACTTACCATAAATTAAGTTCAAAATGCTTTTAAAGAAGTTTGTATCGTTTTGTTAAAGTTGTAAGAAGAATACATCATTGTACTTCACTTGGGACGTGATGTGTACCTCCAAGTTTTTTGTTTTTTTTGGGGATCATTTTAAAAATCTTTGATGCACAGGTACCTGCTGCCCATGGCTTAGTTGTAAATAGATTTAGTAAATGGTTCGTTGTGGAGCCCTCCTGTAATCTGAGGTCTAGGGAACACTTCTTGTTTATGGCAGCCCTTTCTGGTTAATACCTCCACAGAGAAGGTTACCTGGTACCCACCTTGTAGCAGCAGGTGAAGACTCTTCAGCTATCCAGATGATTTCCACATGCAACACTCCCTCTAATTTTTCAGCCCCACTGGTCGGGGTTCTGCCCCTTGTGTGTGTAATTTCCTCTACGTGCGTGAATCCCCCTCCGTGCATGAGAACCAATCAGAACCAAAGAGGCTGAAAATGATAATTGTTGGTGTGCGGGGAAGGAGAAAGGCTGTGCATAGGGGTGTAGAGTTGTGCATGCATCTTAAGAGAGAACCTTGGCGACATGGGTGGTTGTTGGCTTTAGTTATGCTGCGATTTTAATTTTATGTTGATCTCCAAGCAATCATTTGTTTTCTAAAACACATGGTGCTTTTGGAATTCTGTACTGAAAAGTGCATGTTTGCAAATTATTGCAAATAATCACAAAATAATTCCATTGCTGTTCATTTTATTGAAGTTATGTGTGGATATCATTTCCTGAAAAGTTTTTTTTTAAATTTTAATAATTCTTTTGTTTCATTTGAGATGCAAGTAGCATTAAAGCTATTGTAGAGCAAGAAATGCTGAAGATTTTCGTGTTTTGAACAGAAGTAGGAGATTTTTGAGTATGTGCCAGGCCAATGAGCACACCTGCTCCCCCCAATTTAATTAATTGAATTTTGTTTTAGACTACAACTCATCGTCATGATGACTAAGGTTTTCTAGGAGTTGCAGTCCAAAAAAGTTACCTTTTAAATCTCTGGTTTTGAGCTTTTTCTTGTGATTTATATCTAATTGTTGACGCACATATACACAGTACGCTATAATTCTGAGTAGATGAGTTTATCTATAAATAGTAGGCAATTTGTGAATCAGATAAATCAAGCTTCTCCAAGAGCCTGTGTTACTTGCTCTCCTCTTTTTAGTCTGCAACTTTGTCATTCTTATGGCACTTTAGTCTTGGTACAGTATTTTCTGTTGCACACATGAGCATTCACCAGAGTCTTGATTCTCAGCACTGTGAATCACACTAGAGTAGGCCCGTACAATCAATGAGGGTTTAGTGAGTCAACTTCTCTGTAAATCCCATCGATTCAAATAGACCTACTCAAATGTGACTTACCATGTTAAAGTAAGTTTCAGTTAAAATAAAATAATCTGAATTTATGGATATATTGACTCAATAAATCCCCATGAATACAATGGGCCTACTGTAGCGCGATTTACTATGCTGAGCAACAGAATTTGGGATATTTTTAAAATCTAGAGTCCTGGTAGCTAAGGAATCAGAAGAACAGAAGATACATAAGATTGGTTACAATTCAGCATTTACAACTTGGCAGAACAGAAATACAGAGTGTTGCAAGAAAGATTACTTTGTTGAAGATCCTGTTAAGGGTCAGGGAACCAGATGGAAGTACAGACTGATATTTTGTCACTTTGCTATGCGTACAGTAGGTGAACAGTGTAACATCCAATGGCTTCTAGCTGGCAGTCAGCAAGGCCCTGTTGGGATTCTTGGTTGTGTATGTGTGCGTGTACACACTCTTCACTTGATAGGGACTTGTGAATTTCCAGCCAGAAGCAAGCCATTTTACCTCTGCTTGCCTGACAGAGCAATAAGATTTTAGACCAAAATATATAGAGTTTTATTTATTGCATTATTTACTACATTCACATATATACCACCCCATTAGTGTGAAGGACAATACTGGGCAGTTAACAATATAATAAAATCCAGCAAACTGTAGCAAAAGTAAAAATGAAATAATACTGTCATAGAATCATTGAATAAACAGAACCTTCCCCCCCCCCCAAAAAAAAATTGAATCAGCATTAATCCACAACAGTGCAATATTTCCATATACGTGGCAGGGTACAAGGCAGAAAAAATTCAGATGAGGTTGCATTCAAAGGCTTCTTGAAAGAAGAGCATTTTCAGCAAACTCTTAAAAGTGGAGAGGGAGGGGACAAGGTGCAGCTCAACTGGGAGCTGGTTGCAGAAGGTGGGTACCGCTGCCAAGAAGGCCCAACTTTTCTGGCCTCTTTCAGGAACCTCATGGCGCAGTGATTAAACCGCTGTACTGCAGCCAAAACTGTGCTCACGACTCGGGGTTCAATCACAGGTAGACCGCTCAAGGTTGACTCAGCCTTCTATCCTTCCAAGGTTGGTAAAATGAGTACCCAGCTTGCTGGGGGGAGCAATGTGTAGCCTGCATAATTAACTTGTAAACCGCTCAGAGAGTGCTCGAAGTGCTATGGGGCAGTATATAAGCAGCACGCTTTGCTTTGCTTTTGCAGGAACATTGCCTGGGAGGATTTGATAGCACAGTAAATGATCTTAGTTAAAGATGTCCAACAAGTAACAGGATCCCAAATTATGAATGATTTTATAGGTGAGCATCAAAACCTTGAACTTGGCTGGGGATGTCACAGGTAACTAGTGTAGGTAAATCCGGACTGGGGAGATGTGATTGAATTTGCTCACACCTGCC